TAATCTGGAAAACTATGTCACCCAGTGTCAAATTCCACCCCCGCTGTATTGTGCAAACCTGACTTAAAATCCTCCTTGAGGAACACTTGGATGGTTATGAAACGTCCTCAATTCAACACCTGGAGCTGACCTAACTGACCGAACCAACGAGACCATGAGCGAGGACATTTGGTCATCGCAGCCGGGTGAAATCATCATGCACACTTTCAGCTCGGAGTCTACTAGAGCCAGTCCAATAGAATGCATCAAGACTCCTGCTGCGATCCCGGAGACCCGGACGTATGGCTGGACCCGACGAAGGAGGAGGGAAGCGGGAGGACCAGGACCGACCGAAGCCCTTTATTTCACAAAATCAAATCAAAGGGCCTTGTAGTGACTAAAGACCCGGTCTACTTTGCTATATTCTATATTCTACGGTCTAGTACCTGTAATAAAACCTACAGATTAATAGTTTTCTTCCCAAAGGCCAGAAGACTAAGTGAGGTACTTATTTTCAGCCCTGCAAGTTTTTGCACTCCATACAACCCCATCCACCTTCTGCAATAAGGTGAGTTGCCTCAGAGGCTGAGCCGGGGGGGAAAGTACCCACTATTTCTTATTTGATGGCTGTTGGCACGCAGCGATAATTGAAGGCTTCTCAGATCAATATTTTTCATCAAATTATATCATCTCTCGTGTGGCACACAAGGGCTTGGCAGCACTTTTCTGACATTCCCCATCAGGGATGTCTTATTTGCTAAATCAAAACCTGGTGGATGGAACTTGAGGGATGACGATACTCCTTAAAAAGTCATTTCTATCAATTGATTTCCAGTGAGGCGCTGGCGTGATCGATTAGACCAACTGAGGCAGGAACAAAGGCCCGGCTGGGAGGTAGAGAACCGCCCCCGTCTCTGTGTGAGGGAAGAGCAGCGGATTGCGCGACAGACACCTGGATCACAGCAAACATGTGACCAGGAAGGCCAGCGCTAATCTTGAACACTTCAAAATGTCCGCCAGTGAAAACGCAACTGAAGCGAAGGGGGTATTCTCGTTGGGGAAAAAAAACCCAAACAGTTCAACAAACCGGCAACACGACCGGCCTGACTGGCCCAAATGGAGAATGCCGATGATGTCACAGTTCAGGCTGTTGTGCAAGCCCCCCCCTCCCCACTCCCCCCTCCTCCTTTGGCAGCTCTGAAAAAGTTGACGTACACAGAACACGCACACATAAACACTCTAATGCGGTCATTCCCATGGTGCGACGGGCTCGGAGAATCCGCCGCCCACCCCCACCGGGTGTGGGAGAACGGCACAGATTAACAGATGACAGAGCTTGTTAACTCTGGACAAAGAGAGATGCTAATCTCGTACAGTCGACCTGATCTGTAGCTAAAACACTACACAGGGGGGAGAAGGCAAGACCAAGAAAGAACATGGGAGGGATATTTAGCAACGACTGAAGCCTTGTTTTGTCCCAGAAACCCAACAATACAGTGGGAGGAGGGGTGGGGGGGGTAAAGAGGGCCTATCAGCCCCAAAGCGCGGCAGGCTGCGACCTACGAGCTTCGGCTGGGCGCCACCGCCTGCAGGGACAGCCAGCTGGGAAGAGCGGAGTGCAACTTTGGGGATATTGATCGCACGGGAGAAAGTGAGGAACCGGGTGAGATAAGGGGGGAGAGAGAGCGAGACAGACGGACAGAGGAAGTGCATTAGCAAGACAGGCTCCACTGATGCTGTTAGCGCCCTCCCCGGGGAGATAAGACAGACAGAAGTGACATGGTTTTAGTGAAAACGACCAAGAGGGCGGGGAGAGGACAGGAGAAGAGGGGGGGGGGGGGGGGGGTTTGGCTGTCTTAGGGACAGAGAGCAAACACCAGACAAGGGGAGAAAAAAGACCCCCACTGGAAAAAAAAAAGAGGGCTAAATTTGTAACTTTGTGGAGCTGCGTGATCCGCCCCCCCCACAGGGCCGCCTGCCCCAAAAAAAGGTCCTTTTTTGGAGGGGCGGGGGTAAATGAGATCAGGGCGGCTCCAGAACAGCTGGTGGCTCGGATCCATGGGCACCCTGATAAAGCGGATACCTGGGAGATGGAGGGAGGAGGGCAGGACCCGGGCATCTGTGGCACCAACGGCGATAACAACCCCCGAAAGGGTTGGCCGTCTCCTCAGATTTGGGCCCAGGGAGGTGGGGGGGGGGGCACACGGACACGCGCACGCAAAGTACAAGTGTAACGACTGTGTCCTAAAGAGAATTATGTCCTCCCGTTTGAAGTGGAATTGTCTCCAGAAGAAATCCGATCCCTGCGCGGGGAGGCGGACAGTTTGACCGGATCAGCGCCTCAAGCTTTCTGAGACCAAACCGTCCAGCACACAACTGGACGGACTGCTGGCAGCTCTTTCGAGGACAACCGCACAACCAGGCCTGTCCCCGGGAGACCCTGATTTGACAGCAGCAACAAAATGCCCCCCCCCCCAGCTACCTATGGTGAAGGGAGTTAATTATTTTGTCTTCAGCACCACTTTCTGGCACAAACGCCTGTCATCCAGGCTATGGTGAGGGCAGGTTCTGACGTGATCTGGATCACACCGGGCGCCGGGGCAGCATATCTACCTGCCATCCGGTCTCCCACCACAAGGCCGTGAATTACTGCAGGCAGCTGCCGGCAGATACAGCCTCATAACCAACGGGCAGTTGGTGACAACTGTGACATCCAAAGGCCGCTATCGCGAGCCGGGGAGCGCGGACGACAGCGACGTTTCCTCAGGCCTCAATCAGCCCCGAACACAGCGGCGGAAACGCGTTGGCACATAGCTTCTGTCGAGGTGCTGATATCCAAACAAGAAGCCATTGTAGGGAAGGGGAAAAAAAGTGTGCGGGGGGGAAGGCTGGGGTGGGGGGTGATGGTGGTCATTTTTAAGGACGCCAAGAAGCTCAAGGGTCATGCTCCTCAGTGTGATGACCAGAGGCACAGGCTTGTCCTTTTTTACAATTGAGAAGTTCAGAGCTGGGGGGGGCTGGGCTTTGAATCTGAGTCACACACCCACCAATCACCAGTCCTTAGGCTACACAGCTCTATAGATGAGACAGTCATATCCCCTCTCCGGAGGGGGGGGGCATGGGGTCAAGAGGCCAGCTGGGGGAGGGGGGGGCGAAGCAGGGAAAAGAACATTCAAATTGAAATCGACAGAAAGTTTGTCAAATATCAGAATAGTTAAGGATTATACATTTGCTGATTGAAGAGTTGACTAATTAATAACAGATTTACTTTACACAAATCAAAAAACACTGCTTTGCATTCGTGCCTGAATCATTAGAAAAAATCAATACTTTGACAATGATCAACCGACTGTTAATCGTTCTCAAAATTGCAACTACTTGACCACTTGTGTCTATTCATTCAGTCTCCATTGCAGAATGAGTAGCTTAATTTGCCCCCCCGTACGGTTTCAGACACAATACGCTCTCATTGTGATGGAGTGCAGACGGTGGCAGGAGACAAAGCGACGAGTGCTGTTAAAACCAACAACGAACAAGGCCGAATGAGAGACACCACTCTGGTCCAACCCACGATGGAGACGAGATAATTGCGCCCCATTTTCTTTCACATTACATAATCCGCTTCATTAAAGTATAGTTTCTGAAAAATCTGGCCCACCCACAAAATGCCTCCAGCAGAAAATCCACATCCTCCAATAATTGCTTTAAAGACCATCTTAAATAACTTCATAAAAAAGCAGTGTGGTTGTAATGGCAGCCAAATAGAATTTAAACTGATTGCATTAGGCCTGTCCTCCATTTCCCTTCCTCATCCTCCAACGCTGTGAGTCAGCCATTCTCTCATCCGCACGGCGTGGAGGCTGGGAGGGAGGGGGGCTCTGACTTAAGGGTCCTGGAGTTTCTCCAGAGCTGTGCGGGGCAGAGCCTTCAAAGTGATCATATTAGTCGCCCCGGGGGGGCATCTACTAAAAAAAAAGGGCATCAATGTGATGGTGGCCGTTCTTCGACCCGTCCACGGACCTGCCTGGGGGGGGGCTGAGGTCACAGAGCGTTTCGATGCTTGCATGTTGTGCAGTTTATTAAATGCTCTTGGTTTGGCTTCTCCCCCCCCCACCCCCCTCGTCCCCATTTGTTCGCCGACTTGAGGGTAATCCTGCTTGTTGCACTCGGGGTATAAGAAAAAAAAACCTAGCTGGAGCAGCCACAGGGCCCCTCCAGCCTCAACAGTCACAATAGCTGATCACTTCTGTGGGGGGGGGTTACATTAATCACCTCTGATTGCACGCCAGCTTGAGTCTGCGCACAGCCGCCGCGGAGCCATTTCATCCTCACACGAGTTAATGCTAATTTATTCGGTTGTGGTTGACGTGCAAAACGGAGTGGGCATGAGCGGGATCTAGTAGCCCCCTAAACGGCTCCCATACACCCCCCCCCCCCCCCCAAAGAGGCGCTGGAACGTTTCTCGGCACCCGCACCACTCGGCCCATCTCAGAACCAATGGGCGTCCGCGGTGGAGGATGGAGAAGGAGGGGGAAAAAAAAAGTTCAGCGAGGGGGAAAATGCAGACAAAATGGTCGCGTAGATGCTGATAACATTGCTGGTTGGTATTCGCGTACGTGAATGGGGGAAAAAGAAGGCAAGTACCTGATGCTTTCGGGCAGCTTTATCTGTTGAGCGCTCGCAGCCTGCCACCGCCCCACCGACCCCCCCCCCCCTCCCTCCCTTCAATGGGAGCCTGAAACAACGGCGCGGCGACCAAGACACGAGGTGACACCAAAACCACCGCGTTTGTATTTAACGGGCACGTTCAGTCACACAAAGCGACGCCACAACCGCGTAGCGACGCGTCGCGAACAGTTGCGGCGAGTAAGGCGGCGCGCGGCGTTCAAACGGGGACTCGAGCCTCCGTAACGGACCGCGGGCGTAACGTTCGCGTTGACGACTCGGCCGGTAGACGTTAATTAGCCCGGCGGCGGTTACTAACTAGCAAGCTAGCTAGCTGACGCTAAATCGGTCCTTACCAGTCGGTGCAGCGGCCGAGCTAGCAGAATCCTCCCCAGCTACGCCCAACGGCAAGGCGGCACAGCCCGGCTGGATCCTCGAGTCGCTCCGGGGGAGAGAAAGTGAGGATGAAAAGGAAACTTGGGAGGACGGAGCGAGTCGAGCCGAGCGACAGGAACGTCTGGGTGACAAGCGGCGTTTCTCACAAATGATGCGCGTTCACTGAAAGGAAGAAAGGAGGAGAATGACGCTTCAGTTTAGTCAGTCAGTCTCTCTCTCTCTCTCTCTCTCTCTCTCACTCACCCCCCTCTCATACACACGAGCGTAGACCGGTGAAAGGAGCGATGGACGGGCGGAGGAGAGGGCTCCCGCTGCCTTCAGGTGCCGCAGGAAATGTCGGAATAATGAAAGGTTTACATATGAATGTAATATGGGATCATTGTTGAGCTGATTAAACAACATAGTTTATGTACAGAACCAGACATTAAAATAAGATGAACATTATGTGATATATAATATTTTATTTTTATTTTATTTTACAGCTAGCATGGCTCTGTCTAAGCAAAATGCACTCACAAGTACCTCTAAATGTCATAATAAACGTTTATGTCCCTACATCATTTTATGGGGTTGTCTGTGACAAATCTTGGATAGAAACAGTTGCTGAGCTAAAGAATCAACACTAGTCATTGACATTTTTCTTCAACATTTTTATTGACCTAACAATTTTTCAGCTGGTTAAAAAAGTAAGCATATTTATTGATAATGGAAAAAATCATTGTTGCAGACATTTTTTTAAATATAAAACAACTGATATGGTTCAGCTTTCACAGAAGGAATTGTACCCATTTTTCTAGCTGAAATCATAACAAGGACTTCCCCATAATTGGAAATTTGTTCCAGAATGTGTTATATTAAAGCGAAACGTCATGGGAAATATTGTGCTTCCTCAACCAGAGCCTGGTGTCAACAAACAACTAACATAACAAAGGCCTACACTCAGACCATGTTGACTGATGAAAGGGTCATATTCATTCTGCTTGTTTAATTCTGGGTGTCAGTGCCTGTAAAAAACAGTATTTCCCACTAGTTCCCTCCAGATGGACGCACCAACTGGCACAAAACAACTAAATTTGATGAACACAAATGGCATTACAGCTTTTAAAGCCCATTTGTTTTATTTTGTAATCCTTAAAACAATTTTTTCCTTTTCTTCACAATGTCCGACCTCAAAAATACGAGCACCCTGAAGGCAACATCCACCACGACGGCCGCGCCACGCTGAAATTGAAAGGGCTGAATAGCGAATGGCAGGGGAACCTCTGCTTTCTCCGAGCGCAGCCAATCACCTCGCAGGCAGCGGGGATTAGTCAAATTAAGGATGATGTCACCTCTTGCAAGTCACCCTGCTCCCCATGCCAGAGTTCCTGCCGGTTGTCTGTTGCCCTCCCTCCAAGGCCCCTGCAACCCCCCTTCTTCCTCTCCTCTTCAAAACCTTTTCTCCCTTTTCTCCCTTTTTCCATGCCCCACTGCACGCACTCACACACACACATCGGTGCATTACTGCAACCCCACATGCATGAAGTTGCGGCCATTGTCTGCCTCAATGTGACTGTTTCATCCACATTTCAGACCTGTTGATTTCCCAATTTCAACATTTACGGGCTCCGACATCTTTGTCTGAAGTCAAAGGTCCCGCAATTTAGAATTCCGATACAGTTTATTAACAAACCTACCCGCCATTATAGTTTGTCACCGCCAGCCAGCAAGAAATGAAGACTAAAAGGAGCGGCCGACACAGCGTGCTTCCCCCCTTTTTTTTTTTTCGGTCAAGTAGTCTGTTTTTCTCTCGGTCACAGAATGCCATTGTTGCAGGGATTTAGATGCTTTTGTCTCCGTGCGCCATGCTCCTCGGCAGAACGAGGGCTTTTCATCACAGACAGTCTGGGTGGGCATGCCGCCTGTCTGTCTGTCTCGCTGTCTGCTGCTGCTCAGCTCTTCCACAGCAGCCGGCCTTGTCTGCATGAGCCGGGCCACTGTGGGCTGCTTTTTACCCGGCTCTTTCCAAGCACTGGAGAGGGGGGTGAGATTTATTTGAGCATGGCACAGCAATATGTGGTACAAAAACTCAAAACAAGGGATAAAAATACATGTTATCTCATGGTCCCAGTTCATCATCCCCTGTCGGGTTTCCAGAGGAAGTGGTGCTCTTCTGAAATGGAGCAGCTAATTTCTAGCGCTGTTCTTTCTGTTCAAGGTCAATTCATTCAAACAGTTCATCGGCCTGTTTGGGGTAAAACAATGTGACAGTGCAGGTGCGTGTATGAAAGGAGACCAGGAAGAAGGTGGAGACCCCGGGGTTGGGAGGTTGTGCCTCCTGGTTTGACGCTGACGGACATATTGGCACGGTCCACCAGCCGCAACAAAGAGAGGAAGGTGGTCTTTTTTGTTTTTTCTCCTTCCACATGGCGGTGCGCGGCGGCGGACACAGGAAGGGGCAGGGCTGCGTACCCCGCTGCACAGTTCCCCTGTTATTTATCTCATTGTTTTTTCCTCCTCCCCATCTACCGGCACGCAGTCCAGCTGGGGCGGCACAAAAGGGTTTGGCACGCTGTCAAGCCCCCAAAAAACAAACCTCGGCTCCGGAAGGGGTTGACAAGCTCATACCCGACACATTGGTTATTTCAAAACAGACACAGGCGTTGAGTTTTTACACATTTGTGTACAGTCAGGCTGCACGGCCATCTTCCGCCAGTTCTGCCAAAACCACACAAGACCACACCCAGCCCATCGGACGCCATCTTTTCTTTCTTTATTTCGAGGTGAATTAAAACCCCTCTGGAAATGCGCGCAAATATCATTCTGCATGAATGCAATGCTAACAGACTGTGTGTGTGAATGCAGTCAGTTACAGGTTAGCACATGTGGGTGCATCTGCCCGTTGACTCCCTGAAGAGAGCAAAGTAATTAACATGCAGCATGTTACCACGCTCACCAAGCAGGCAACACTCGAAGAAGAAGAAGAAGAAGAAGAAGAACAATGCCCACGCAACAGGGAAAAAGCCTGTATATAAGTATATACATCAGAGCATCGTCAGTTGGATCCCCACGGCTCCGCCGGCCTATAAGTCGATATGTGCTTGTCCTCTGAATGTCCAGCTATTCCTGATGGGCAGGTGGCACCTTGCACGGCCCTGCTGTTAAGTGTGTGAGAGACATTCTATTCTACACAGAATAATGATGATGATCTGAAGGCATATGCTAATAAAAAGCCTCTGGATTGATTCCTGCCATTTATCCTCCTCTTTCCCGTAGTCATTTGCTTTTCCCGGGTGCGCGTGAATAGTGTTAACAAGGATTGGGAAAGCCGCCGGCAGCCTCTGCCCTGCTGCGCTTGTCCTCCATGGGCCTGTATAAGCAGCTTCACCCTGAAGGCTGGCCGTTTCCCGTCAGTCGGATTCTAAATTGCTTCGTCTTGGCCTCTGCGAAACGTCCTTGAGTAAATAATGAATGCAGGTGCCCGGGGTTTCGGACAGACGTGCACCTCCTCCTCTTCACTAAGAGCTGCCTTGGCTCGCTGTCCCTCCCGTATTCTGCGTCCGCTGACCTCGTGTTGCCATGTGGGTGGTGGTAATGGTGGATTTGAAGGTTAAGCATTTTACAAAGGGTAATTCATCTTTAATGAAGGCAACCAGCCGCTCCCTTTCTTAATGTTCCACCCCACCCTGCCGGAGTAGCGGCGTTTTAGCTTCCTTCGTGGGCTCTGGCTGTTGTATCGGTCGGTTTGTTGGTTGGTGGCAGCAGACGGAGTCTTGTTTCACCCTCTAGTGGTGCCAACGGCACACTGAAGGGCTCAGACGTTTCATGCTGTATGAGTACTAAACTAAAGTACAGGCTCTCATTACTGCTACGAGTCCCACCAATAATGCTTCAATCCTAAATGGCTAATTACATTACGTGCCTTGAATATCAAAAATAATAATTTAATAAACTATAATTCTAAACTATAATATTTTTTCTTATGCCAACACAATTTGAGAGTCTTAACAGTTTATTTGATCTACAGGTACTTCACATGGTCACAGAAGGAAGTTAATAAGTTAGGGTAAAAATCTCCTGTACAGAAAACAGAGAAACTCCCTTTTCAGCCATCACTTAAAATATAAAGTTAAAACACAAGGAAACATATGCAAAGTTAGCGTAAAACAAAAAAGAACATGGCCACACAGAGAACAGGAACAGAAGCACGTTACGTGACACCTTTAAATCAGTCCTCATTAAGTGCAAATAAGTACCCGCCAATAAACATTCATTAAGGTAAATGCATGTTGTGATTGTAAACAATAATCATTCATTTTAAGTTAGCATGTTAGTGTGCACAAAAAAAAAGTACAGTCCCCTTTAGTCCTGAAACACTCCCCCATCCTTCAGAAATGAGACATTCTACATATTCATTTTCCTTTTCCATGAGGTGAATAAAGAAGCACTTTTTTGTGCATGTGTACATTATATCAAATGTTAGCAACTCTCTAAGCTGCATTCGAACTACCCTACAAGGCCGAGTCAGAGCGGGAAAACAGGAATCAGACTTTCACATCTTTTACATAAACAAATAAATAAAAGTACACCAGGAAAGCAAAAAGCAAAGTGCAGTGACAGACCTCCAGCGAGCTCGAGCTACAGCGAATGTAACCACCTCAGAGAAACTAGCTTGGCATAGTAGATCTTTGCGTTATTTTGTGTGTTTAAACTATACATATTATAACTTACTTAAGTGATTTTTAAAAACGGACCATTCAAGAAGATTTGATCATAAAACTGGGAAATATGTCACAAGGAAGAGTTCACATCCCAAAGGGGCGTAGGTGACGTGTCTCAATGAAGTTAAGGCGCTAGTGTGTTTTGGACCAGGATGCACTCACTGCAGATAAAGAGCCACATTTCACACACATTCTTTAACATATCAACAACTCTGCCAGCTAAATCACATCAGAATAAATAACGCTGTGCATTGATATGGCTAATTTACCTAGCTAGCTAGCTAACGGTTGCGTGCATGATGGGAGAACTCAACGATACAGCTACGAATATCTTAAACTTTCTTAACGTGCAGAATTGTATTTTTAACCCATTAAAACTTCGCTCCTAAAATATTTGTGTCTCGACACTGACCGTCGTGCATGATTCTTTTCAAAGTGAGGACACCCAGGGGACACTGATGCCGTTTGCATCCTGGATTTCCTATACAAATGTGCAGCGCGGCACACTGCAGCCAAACAGCAAGAGCGCTCCGTCTCGCAGCGCATTAGTCACAGCAGGAACAGTTCCTACAGATTTATGACTAACCAGTTGGCTGCAGGGCTGCAGGGCTCGTCCTTTCTGGTATAAGAAGAATGCAGGCGGGGAGTGGAGGAAGAGCCCCTACTGAAAACGTTACAGGAGCCAATTCTTACTTAATGATCCCTCTTTTTTCCCCATTGCACCGCTACTATATCAAGTCAGAGGAAATACACACATTTACATAATCAAGAGGCGAAAAAATAAAAATCCTGAAGGCTAAGCAGCCATGTGGACACTAAAAAGAGCATCGGTCTAAGAGAAAATGCGAATGCATCTTACTCAGTTGTCCAGTCTACAGTGAGGACTACGTTTACTGGCATTGTGCAGCTACTGGTCATCGAAGCCCCAACAATGAATTATTCACACAGAGCAAAAAGCCCAAACAAGTACGGAGCGCCGGACCACCAATGCAAATGCACGTTTCTATCAGAAGACGGCGTGGTCCGGTCTGTTCGAGGCTTTCATCGCCCCCGCTGGCTGTTTGTGGAGAAGGGGAATATAGCGACACACACACACAGTCATACACTGCTTACTCCCTCTGTGCATCCTCCTCGTCCTCCTCACCAGTTACAGCAGCAGAGGAAGGAGCACGACGACCCCTCTGGCCCGCGGAACTTGCCCGAGCTGGGCGTGTCCGCGCACTCTGCGATGAACTCGTGCAAATCGCTGACTCGCACCGTCTCCTGCGTCTGAGCCTGCGGGAAGAACAACGCGAAGATGAATGTTTCCCTGACACACACACACACACACACACACCGGGCTCAGCACTGACATGCAGCCGGGTGAAAGTAAAAGGCGTACCATGATGGTGTCGTAGGCTCCGGTGATGAGCGCGATGAAGAGAGACAGCACCATGTAGATGAAGAGGGAGATGAAGGTGTAAAGGTAGACCTGGCTGAAGATCCACACCAGAGCGCCGCTCTTCTCCATCTCGTGGAACGTCACGAACATGTCGTCCCCGTTGATCAGGGAAAACAGGCACTCCGACACCGTGGAGAGGGAGCGGAACTGTTTACACAAGGGAGGACAAAGACTTTTTAAAACACGCTGGAAGACACGTTCAGATGAGTTTTGAGTCGCATCAATCTTTTTTATCTCACACTTTTGGCCTAAAGCAAAAAAATAATAGATGCATATGGAGGTTCAGTCAAGCGTGTAAAAACGGATGTGAACACACATTTCTGTGGGGCCTTTGAATTTGTTGAACTCCTTTTATACAGTTTTTCTCTGTAAATTCGGTGCATACATGAAGTTTGATTTATTAGCTGGTTTGTGTCACTTTTTTTCCAACACTCTCTCTCGGCTACAAAGAGCCAAAAAAACAATCCGCTGCATGTTGTCATGAGTGTTCCGCTCTCATTAATCATACACAGCTGCAAAGACGATGCAGGCTGGAGGGCATTTGACGATGCCGGGCGTTCATTCAGTGGGCTGTACCTTGGTGTGATACGGCCCCAGCACGATCCAGCCACAGAAGCAGTACCCCATGTAAATGGCGGCGGCACAGCAGCAGAAGCGGATCACGTTGGGAAACGCAGCTCTGAGGGTCACGATCAAGATCTGTCAGACGCAGAGAGAAGGAGCAAGATGCCGTAGATGGACCCTTCATGGGAACAACCAGGGGGAAAGAGACCAGCTTCATTTGTGTGCGTGTCTTTATTTCACCTACATTGTATTTCTGAAAGAAGCTGAGGTAGCGGATGACTCCCACCCACACCAGCAGAGTGGAGGTTCCCAGCAGGATCCCGCACATGTCGTATGACGACAAATTCTGCACGACAACACGCGTTGTGTATTACCAGAAACGCAACGGAAACCAGAGAAAATAATGGGGGATTTTTGTCCGTGACGTTTCCTCACATCACCTTGGACTCGATCCCGATCTTGATGAAGCTGCCGATGATGGTGAACATGTCGCTGACGATGAGCAGGATGTACCAGCCGTTGATGAACTCCATCCTCTCCCCCCAGCTCACGCTGCGGCCGAGGCCGAGCTTGAAAAACTGCGCGTATTCCTGGTTGGGGGGGACGGGGGGTGACGACAAAAATGAGAGTCTGTGTTCGGTTCTGTTTAAATCATTAAATCACCCACAAAATGAAGGGGATGAACTTGAATTCATGTTATATACCTTTTTTTGTTTTCTTCAATAGAAAAATAACCACACTGTCATATATGAACTTCACCAGAAACAAACTATTTTCATTATACACAATGATTCAGGTCACCAAGATATAAATCCCGCTGTTTTATCTCATGTTGTTATCAACAAAACCACCAGCGTATCTAAATGGTATTTGGTAGATCTGAATGTTACTGTCATGGTTCGTTTATTGAAAACGAGTAAGCAAATGGTGGCAATCTACCAATCTACCCATTGAGAGGCACCATTGACCAAAGTTAAACGCTACGCTTGGTCGGATCTCTCACATGTTGCAGGACGATGCCTCTGAGGATGGAGCGGCCGCACAGCAGCAGGGACAGCAGGCAGACGAACGCCACCAGCACATCGAGGAACTCCCGGGCGTAGCTGTCCGCTATCAGAAGATCAGGGCGAATTAGAGGGATGAAAGAAAGGCGAATGACAGATAAAGCGGAGAGAGGCGAGTGCGTGCTCACCGTGTCCGGACACGTTGGGGTCTTTGCACTCCCGTATGGAGGCCTGGTTCTGCAGACTGATCTTCACTTTGCCACTGTGCGCCCGGTTATCCATGACGATCTGATATCAAACAAGAACCAGCGTGAACAAACCGGCACTGGAAGAGGGAGAATTCCTCCACCTCTTTTGCCTCATTTTAAAGCACAACTGGCGAATACAGAGTTGTGATCAATTGGGCCACAGTGATACGTGTGCTTTACGGTGACTCCAGGCGCTTATTTAAACAGATATAATAGAAAAGTCAGCGCACCGTGATAGCAAAGGTGTAGCAGTCAGGGATTTCATTGTTTATAATCGTCTGAATGTTGATGGCCTTCAGCTGAAAGTCAATGGTGACGTTGATCAGCCTGGACACAGACAGGACACAGCGAGACAATGTGAAGTTTGTTCAACAAGTTAACACCACGAAGGAGGAAAATCACACCTTTTTCATTTCTACAGTTAAAAAAAACAAAACATAGAATCATCTGACTTGTAAAACTGGAGAGTGAAATTCTTGTAGTCAATGTTTGCTGGAGCCAGACTGGAAGTCAGTGGATTCAGTCCAATACATTCTGGGGAAAAAAAAGAGCCAGAAAATTGCTTTAGAGGAACTACACAAATACCACATGGGAAATATTTTAAAACAGCATTTTCCTAATCACGCGAAGCACGGAACACACTTCCTCGCGGCATTAACAATACAGGATCGTCCCCCTCGGAGATTGTTACTGTTTTACTTTATTATCGCCGCAACATTTATCACGCCTTGCCAAAAGCCATCTCTGCCAAATCAGCAGCTGTATGCAAATAACTCCTTTCTCAAGGCAGGGAGGCCTGTGGCTAATACAAGTATGTGGAAAAAAAAAGGCTTTGCGATAGGAACTATTTGTAGCCTTTGAAAGTAGGGCACAGTTGGAGGGCAACCTCTCGACATGCACAATGACTCACGGACACACTCATTTCCTTCTGGGCCCAGAAAATCCTTGAACTGAGTAAATAACAAGGCAGCTGGTCTTCAAACGCCAAACACCCAGAGACCAATTTAACAAACACGGGGGAGAGAAACTACCGTCATTACATACCGGTATCTACATGGGGATCGATGTCAAAGGTGTCGTTGACGGGGTCGATGGTGCCCCGCCTGTAGTACCTCTGGCAGAGGGAGAGTGCACTCCCTTTCACGCCAACGCCCAACACGTATGCATACTGCCCCAACGAGATCTGAGGTAGCGCCATGTACTGAAGGGGGAAGAGGAAAAGCAGAGAATTAATCAGGAAAATAAGGCCGATTAGATACGTATCACTATATTTAAAATGATTTTCTTCCTCTCTAGTGGGAGTTCTCATTAGATATCCTCCAGATCTTGGGATGTTTCAGCGTCTAGGCCTATGCAGTGAAGTTCTTCAGTGGGCCGTCAGTGTAGACAATGGTCCCACAAGTATGTGGGATCTAGTGACACCTAGTGGTAAGGCTGCAGATTGCAGCTAACTGAATACCCCTCCGCTCACCCCTCCCATAACGAGTGTTGTACAAGAACTATGCAGGCGTTGTGGTAACATGAAATCACGGCAGTCCAACAGGGCGTTTGAGGGTTTGATTTTAAGCCAATTAGGTAAAATCTTTTGGTTTATAATACAAATATGAGGAAAATAGCTGTATTTTGTCTTTGGTGCTAGCGCATATTGGTATGTTAACAAGCAGAAATAATATCGTGAACATCAGCATGTTAGTATTATATTGTAAATCACTGTGCTGGGGGTCTTCTGATGGGCATCAGAGCGCCGAGATCCTGCCAAAAGCTTGAGATTTCATATTTTACTGTTTACAATTACTGTTTTTTTTTGTGATTTACAAAGCCAGTAGCTTTAGCTAAACATGCTCAAGAATTAAGATGAATCAAAAAATGTATGGGGACTCAAAAAAGCCAATTTTCAACTGCCAGGTCTCTTTTTAAATATGACCGCGCCAATTCAGAAGCATCACGAAGTTAGAGACAAACGTGTTGAGCTTGTTATGGAAGTTTCAGTAGATGTAAGTTTGCCGACACAAACTGTTCTTTGGGAAGTATGTGGTGTAAATAAAAATGTGTCGCTTTTGAAAAGCATTTCTCAAGAACCCGCTGCACGGCTGACGTATTTTCTTTATTTTGGGTGAATCCTCGCTTTAAAAAAAAGGCAGTACCCTGATTATTACTCCCCATAGTAATTGTCACCTGCTCTACGGCAAAGTGGATGCGGCTGTACATCTCGCCCTGCGTGTGGACAGCCTGCGGAGCGCCGTCCTCGTAACCCTGCAGGAAAAGGTGTTTGAACGTAGCCGTGTTCTCCTCCTTGAATGTCACCACCATCTGGTTGCTCAGCCCGAACAGCACCAACTACCACGAAGACACAAACAGACACTTTCTCAACCTGAGCGTACTAACTAAATGTTATTATGACGTAATGAAAACAGCACAAATATGGATCCACCTGCACGGTCACGATGATGATCTTGAGCAGCTGCAGGCCCAGTTTGAAAGGTTTGCGTCCTTTGGCGTGATACTTGTCGCAAGGGCTCATGAAGAAGTATTTAAGCTTCCTCCTCAGGGCCTCCTCCTCCTCCTGCTTGTGAGGGGCCTCGGAGCCCACCAGGGCGTTGGGACGAGGGCTGCCATAGTTGGCCACGGAGGAGAGGAGCCGGTCCTTCTCTGGGAAACACAGGTCATGATCGCCGTTAACGAGACATCGAAGGGGCGCGTTCGCTTCGAGGTATGAATTGAGCTCCAAAACAAAAGCATCGATTAATTCAATTTTGGATTTATTTTGATGAGCACTACATTGATGATCAAAACCTTTTTGAAGCAACATTTTATTTTTTTTAATCTGGAATTGTCTTACCTTAAATAACACATAGGACTTTGTGTCGTTTCTGTTGCATTGACTAAACGTCATCAGTCGTGCAAATGATCTGTGTCCATCATGTCAACAAGACGATCAGGTACACGAGATGATTTCACCAACCCGGTGGACTCACTTATGTATGTCAATGAATGGTGTCATCAATGGTGTCACGGACACCATTCATTGTGAGAATAACACTACATGGGAGGATCTATTTAACGTCCATATGAAACATTCCCTCCGCCTCTGACCGCGGGAATAATCCAACACGCGAGCTTTTTGCAGCACTAAATGTACAAGGAGGAAACACGGAGGAGCGGATGACTGGGACATTAAAGGTGTGCAGACAAACCTGTGGCCCCGTCGTGGATGCAGGTGTAGCTCGAGGACGCCATGGTGGTGTCGCTCACACGGGGAAGACGGAGGAGGACATCGGATGTCAACCAGCGAGCGGCTTCGTGGAGGAGGCAGGCCGGTCGGGATTCATCAGGCAGGCGAAGGGGGCTCTTCGTCGATGACACTTCAGGTAAACAAGACCGCAGCTTCCTGGGGACCACGTGACTCCGCCCACGTGACTGACGTCAGCGCTGCTGCAGCCTGGAGACTCTGAAAGGCTGAAAAAGACACACGACGTGCTCATCCGGGCAAATATGTCAATATACGTTTTTATATATTATGTTATACATGCTTTTGTGCGACAATAACCACAGACTCGGCCACAGTTTTCTGTTTTAACATTTTATTCACCATCACACGGTGCCATTGACGTTTTGGGAAACGCTTATTTTCTTTGTTGCAAAAAGTGAGACCAAGACATCGATACCATGCACACTTGGAACAGTGGTATCAATCTTCTCATCTAACTTGCACACATTTTGGGGTCATGCATAATTCTGCCACCAAAATTTCAAATGTCCTTTTTTTCTAGGACAGTACAGAGACAGACGGGAAGTGTGAGGAGACAAAGGGGACGTCGTGCAGCAGAGAATCCTTCAGCTGCAAATCCAACATTGCGGTTACTGGATGATGCATTTTAGCCCCTTGCTGACATATCCCCCCCCCCAGAAACCACAGAGTTCTCTCATGGATTAGTTTGAGTTATTCACATTTTATTTATGGAGTTGACTGGTAATAGTTTCCCAACCTGCAGATCAAAACGGTCAATGTCGTTGTCATGGTGCCAAGAATAAAGTAATCCCAAAACAATTCACTTATTTAGATGACTTAGACGTATTCCAATTTGTCAAGTCTAAAGATATTGTGGCCGGCTCATAAAACACCATGTGCAAGGTTTGTACTTAGTTTAAGAATAATAATAATAACCCCGTAGTCACACACACACGTGACTCACCTGAACATGTGATCTCAGTATCGTTAACGCGAACTACTGCCAATTGTAAATATACTTCACAGAGACGAAACACATCTGTTAAACTGGAATGCAAAAAACAACTTGTTAAAACAATCTCAAGTCTGGACTTCTGTCTGTTGGATGAAATATTTTGTAGCATTTAACGTTTTACCATTTTATAAACTGGGGACGCTCTAATTATTTGGCGTCCATTTAGTTGGTTCACCTCCATCCTCTGAAGTAAGTAAAACTACTCTCATATTATCAAATAATCTGTTGGGTATTTATTCGTTTCAGGGTATTCATTCGACTATTCTTAAATTGTGAAAGGGCCACCACAATGTCGGAGAGCCCAATTATTTAATTTTGTTTAATTTATATGTATATTTATATTAATCATCTGTGTTGTAAAAATGTAATCTACAAATAAAATGTGATCTTGAGTATACACTGTAACTCAAATCACTTTCATGAGGTGAGACAGGGGCGAGATGGTCAACAAAAAAAGAAAAACGTGGCGGATTGAACCAACTAGCTTTATGTTTTCCTCTTGAGCCGCGGCTCCGCACGGTGCGCTCATCCATCCATAAGGTCCCTCCTGTCTGAGAAGTGCCCGCAAAGAAATCCAGCCCGGAACAAATACTAGCCCGGAGCTGGTTGATATCGATCAACATGACCCCCCCCACCCCTCCCACGGCTTTCTCCAGTCTCCCTTATCTGCCATCCAGGGCCTTGTCCCTGGCTATGACGGAGTCGTTAAACTTGATCATCAGCGTGGTGCCCTTGTGCCAGTGGGCGGTGACCTTGGCGGGGAAGCCGCTGTGCGTGAGGACGGCCTCCACGATGCCCGCCGTGAAGGCAGCGCAGTTCAAGCTGCTGTTCTCCTTGGGCACGGAAATGTACGCATTGATGAGGGGCTCCTTCTCTATGATGTAATAAGTCTTGTCGTCATCATTGGCTTGCTCCAGTTTGTCAGCCTCCTTCCCAAACAAAGACTTCCAGACATTGACCTAAACGAGGGGAAAAAAGCACAGTTAGTCGAGTTGGGACTTGACTCTGAAACCGTCAGCGGTGTTTTCCGTCCGCTCACCTTGATAAAGAGCAGCATGTTCAGCACTTTGGTCTCCCTCTTGCCGTTCTTCTCCCTCAGCACCAGCACGTCCAGCAGGCTGGCGCCGACGCTCTGGCCCATGTCGGCCAGACGCGTCTGCAGCTCCGACACGGAGTACACGCGGCTCTGACAGTACTGCACCATCTCGGAGTACAGGAGGGCGAACGCGCTCACGCTCACCTCGGTCTTGGGTCGGGTTAGGGGTCGCTCCAAGATGTTGGATTTGCCTCGAGTGAACCGCGTGTCCATTTTCTGTTGGTGGTTTGACGGTGGTCCACTGAGCAGGTCGGGATCTACGGACACACGCATGCAGGTCATTCATAGTTAGCAGCATGGGAGAACTGCTCACATGTGGAGTTCTTGCAATGTCTATGCGTTCGAACGTGATGTCTGCACCTTTACATGTATTGGCACAATAATCGTCACAGTAAGACCAATAATAAAGACTCAACCAGAGGTAATAATGCCATCAGGCCTCCCTCCTTAGATTGAAATACCTGTAAATGACCTGTTCGGACACAATGGTTGGATCCTGAATAAAAGCAGTACGTGGTGAATCGGGCTACGGAAATTTACCAGTGTTCTAGTATTAACTAACATTCTGTCATTTCTTATAATCATTTAGATTCCTATCCAATATCTCATGTTGCTTGTTTCGAGTAACTAAAAGCCCAACAGAAGCTACAATATAAAAGAGAAAAACGGATACTGCTCCTACTGATTGAGGCGATTGTTTAGCATAATGCTGTGTGGAATGACTTGTCTCTTAGCATAAGTCAAGTGTTGACCTACCAATCAAATCATTTCATTCATTAACTAGAAAGAGAGAAAATTCTGCCGCGCAACAAGAACAAATGATTGTCCCGGTTAAGCCTCGCTAACAAACAGCTGATCACCAACAACGTCAACGTAGCTGTTAGCTGTTAGCTAGCTAACGTTAGTTCAGCATGCTAGCCGGAACTTCCTGTCTGCACGCCAACCCTCCCAGCATACACATAAGGACACATAAGTTACACGTTTTGGAGACCCTAACATGGAATAGATAGGAACTTGTTTATTTAAAAAAAAATGTACACAAACCGTGTTGCCGAACAGACGAACGACTGTACAGTGTCTTTCTTCCTCTTCTTCTTCTTCGTTGGTTTCTTAATGGAGCAGATTCACATTGCACTGCGCCGCGCAGTGTACGGGAGCGTCACTGCATAGACAAAGACTACATTTACTGTCAAGGTCACTCTAAAATATAATATATTGGCATGTCATATTTTATTAACATAAACTACTGTACAAGCTGGATAATGGCCATGCTGCGGTGAGATTACCAAAACTGCTACAGTTGTCGCATACAAAACATGTCTCCCGATAGATGCATCAAGAGCGTCAATGTGCAGCTTGGCTCAGAATAAATCTGACACATCTGAGACTTCCCACCAATGCCGGTCATCGGCGCACCATTGTTTGTACATTGTTTCCAAAGGAAGCACAGTCACGGATCATTACCATAGCAGGCTATTCCAGCAGGCAGTTGTCAAGACAAGTGCTGTCTTGACAACATCACTTTATCTTTCATGTTCCTCTCTGTACATTTATCTATCTTATCTTTGACCTTTGTTATTTGCATCCACAATGTTCTCTCTAGTTCCACCATATACCGCAATAACCTGTTTTTATCATGAAATGCCCGGTGCAGCAGCACGCGGTGTCTCTGTGACTTTTTGGCTTGACAGTTGTTGTGCACCTTTTCATCGCTGCATTCTTAAGAACAACCTTTTAAGAAAAATTATAAAACCGTCGATACAATCAGCAATAAAGATTTATACAGCTGTCTGGTACACACGTGACACGTCGTGGGACTTCCTCAGTTTTGCGGCCGAGCTTTTTGTGTTTCCCAGAACATCCCGCATGCTTATTGCCTCAGAGAGGACTGCTGCTGATTGGTACAGCAGCTCCAGATTTAAAGATCCCAGATGTTTTTTTTTCTTTCACAAGCCATTACGGAATTTGTGAGTTTCTGCAAAGTGTTCGCCACATCGGACGGAACACCGTTAGCGGAAAATCACAACAAAAAAAAAACCTGACTGACCGCAGGTGCCAGATTCGCACGCTCAGTGGGCCGCGCCGACGGGCCGAAGGTAGGCGTATCTGCAGTAAGTCAACAGTTGCATAACCGCCTGCTTGTTGTGCACGTGAAGTTGTATAAATGACCAGCGGCAACAAAGGAGGGCAGACATTTGGACCCGCTCACGCCTCAGGATGGACAAAGGCTGCTGGAGACTCGCCCTGGTCCTGTTTGTGGTGTTGCTCAGCAGCACGTATGCAGAAGGTAATGGGTGTAAAGGCGGGACATGAGTGACTGTGCCGACATTATTTCATTCATGTTTTTCTTCCTGTTTTGTCAGAAAAATACCTTCAGCTGAGAGTCTTCACAATCGCTTGCCTGCTTCTCAACTTTTTCCCTCGTGTATTTTGCCTCTGTCGAGCACGAAGCACAGCCGAAACCCTCCATGTATCAGCTTGTGCGTCTTGTAGGTCGTGTAGGTCTGAGCAGACGTGTTTTCCCTCCTTGTCCCCAGCTACGTCCTTCATGCATATGGATGACTTCATCGTGGCGGTGAGGCAGGTGGAGCACGGTGACCCTGGGTCAGACCCATTGAGTGTGTTGAGGAGGCTGCGGGGCGCCGGCGGCCTCGATGACGCGTTCGTCCGGCACTTCCTTGGCAACGCCAACCCTGCCGGCGCCGAATGGGACGCCAGCCTCTCCGGTTACCTCAGCAAGGCCGTGCGTCACAGAGTGACGGAGGACGCTACGGAGGAAGGTGTCGTCCTGACGCCCGACGGCACCACGGTCGCCCTGGCGCCCCTCCTCCTGGGCATCGAAGCCGGTTTCCTCGCCAAGAAGGCTGGCCACGTGCGGGGCCTCTACCAGCTCACTCTGGCCAAAGACCTGGACGGCTCTCCTCTCCTGGGACCCGACGGCTGCTGGGACAGCGTCGCCTTCCCTCAGGTCTTCACCCTCCTCGGGGTCCCCTCTGCGCTCACCGCCGCCCGGGTCAACGGAGGCATGGACGGCGCAATTCTGGGCATGGAGGTCTCCGCCGAGCGCCCTGCCGCGCTCAGCGGCCTGCTGACGGAGTACTACTGCCGGCTGGACAGCAAGGGGCTGGACGCCGGCCCGCGCCTCATCGCCCAGCGCCGAAGGGAGAACTTCCGGGGGCTGGTTGCCCCCCCCGTGCTGGTCCGACAGGTGTTGAAAGCGGTAGAGCTGCGGCGGGGACTGGCGGGGCGCCCGAAGATGGAGGTCAGGGTGAAGAAGCAGCTGGCGGCTCTGGTGAAGAAGGGAATGAAAGAGTTTGTCCAGAAGTACATCGGTGAGTGAGAAGAAGTGAAATGTCAAACGTTCCCATCACACTCGCATACGCTAACCGGCCTCACGTTCTCCACCCTTTCTTCAGATTGCCCGCCCATCATACCTCGCTGCATGTGGGGCGCAAAGCCGTACATAGGAACCCCCACCAACCTGTCTCTTCCGCTCTCCTTCATGTACATCCACCACACCCACTCGCCCAGCAAGCCCTGCCTGACCTTCCAGGAGTGCGCCGCCGACATGCGCTCCATGCAGCGCTTCCACCAGGAGGAGAGGGGCTGGGACGACATCGGCTACAGGTACAGCCTCGGGGTCATACGTGTGCGAAGGTAGTGGCCTCGACTCACAAGCGTCTGAAGTTTGCCCTCCGTGTTCCCTCGAAAGCTTCGTCGCAGGCTCCGACGGGTACATCTACGAGGGCCGGGGCTGGCTGCGGCAAGGGGCCCACACCCTGGGACACAACTCGGTGGGCTACGGGGTTTCCTTCATCGGGGACTACGCCATCGGGCTGCCCTCCCAGCACTCCATGGGGCTGGTGAGGGATCAGCTGGCGGCCTGCGCCGTCGGCGGCGGGAGACTGGTCTCCGACTTCGTCCTGCAGGGCCACAGACAGGTGGTGGCCACTTCCTGTCCTGGCGACGCGCTCTATGATGAGATCAGAGGCTGGGAGCACTTTGGGGTACGTACGTCGAGGGGACGAAAGGGGCGAGCGGGTCAGTTTGGCAGAACTCAGAGTCAGAGGCCTTTTATCCATCAAGGCATGGCGCCTGTTGTTATGCCTCTTAATCCTCCCTGTTGGACAAGTCAGGACAGACCGGGCATGTCTCATTGACAACTTGGTATGTTGCACATCTGATGGTCGTTACAGTGTTGTCGGCATACAGGAATCCCTTTCTTGTCGTTGCTGCATGGGCATGTGTAAGCCCTGCAACATTTTTGCATTTTTTTGTAGCAGCCCAGTGAACCTTTCAGTAGGATTCTATGATTTAGATCTGAAAAAATGTAAAGATGAGAGAAAAAATACTATACACTTTACAGTGTATACCTGTTTTACTGGTTTCATTCCCTATTTCCTTTCTTTCAGGAGGTCAAGAAAGGAAAATGATCTGCTCGACAGGAGGGAGACCAAGAAGTCTTAAGTGAACCAAAAACTAAGACACAATAAATAATTGTATAATAATTGTTTTATTCTCATGTCGTGATTGTTGCCACTTCCTTTTGAACACTACGTCGTCTTGCATGAATTTCGGCGCAATTATTACTGTAAAAAACAGACAGGGAAAGTAACTGTACTCAGGTTAACTGTGTTTTATTACTACTTAAACTATACAACAATTTAGGATGAAATTTGTACTTTTTACCCCACTACATGTATTTGACTTTGGTGACTTTATTTCTTAATTAATATTAATTAAAAACTTTTATTATATTAAAAACAAAATCTAATCAATAAAATTATTATGACGCAATAGAGAAATTATGTATTGGGATATTTTATTAAGATCATTATTTTATTCAGGTAAATTAAAGCTAACTACCAGAATAGCAGTAACTAAAACCAGCAACAATTATGTTTAGTTATTGCACCAATAATTAAAATCCAATTCCGTATAACAGTACATTATTCTGCGTAATGTGTACTTTTGCAGTCACCTTAAGGTATATTTGGATGCGGATACTTGTATCATGTATTATTACTCAAATAAACCTTTGCAATAAAGTACATTTTCTTGCAACAAAGTATCGTTTTCGCCGTTGTAAGTCAGTACTTATTGGAAAACGTCCTTATGGCGCAAACACAGTTCCACATCAAACCAGCAGAGGGCGCCAGACGGCCGAGCAATAACCGGTCGCGAGGCATTTATTGATCTACAACATTTAAAGCATTTTTATTACTAATTACTTACTGCTCCAGCTGTCCTCACCCCAAAGCAATGCGGGCGGGGGGGCGATGTGATATGTTTAATCCGTGTGCTATTTAACACGGCGGTACGTTATGTGGAGCTGCTACTTAGAGGCATTAAATTGGCACCAAGTGGCAATTAGAACTGTACCTGTTTCCATGGAACGATGCTGCGCTTTACTCCGCGTCCCCGCGCGGCTGGTCGACGCCGTGCAGCCTCGTGCCCCCTCGCAGAATTAAGTCTTTTCGTTACTGTAAAACGCGTTAGAACCGAAAACCTTTCGCACGCGGCGGGCGTCGAAACGAAGAACACAAACCGACGCACAGCGGGGGGGAGCAAGGCAAAAAAAAAAGTTGAACTTAAACAACCCAATCCGACTCGGAAACTCTTTCCCCGTCGCCCTCCCCGCCGACGTTTCTTACGTACGCAGCGTGCCCGAGAGCCGAATAACATGGAGTCCGCCGTCCTGCATCTTCGAGGGGTCCACGCTCCGAGCTGAGGCTCGGCTCGCAGGGACAAGTTGGTCCCCGTGGGAGCGGTCCGAGCCTCCCCGCGGCGACCATCGTGTCAGGGCGGCGAAAAGCCTCCGCTGCGTCCACGATGACGAGCCGTGCGTGAACGAGACAGACGTTTTTCTACCGCGACCCGCAAAACAGGCCGAATTCAGTGAGTATGCGCGCGCGCACACACACACACACACACACAACAGGAATAATCCCGCAGGTTCTGGGCTTTTTGTGCTTTTAAACGACCAAGTGCACGGATGCATTGTTGCAATATTCACCGACTGGATCGATACCCGCCGCGTCCTCTGGAGCAGCAAAGACCCGCCGTTGGGACATCCTGATGTACCCGGGCATTTTCCTGCTTTTTTTTTGGGGGGGGGGGGGGGGGGGAGCAAGGAAAGGACACGGGCCATTTATTTATGTAACCAGTTGGGCGCCCTACTTTATTTCTTTAAAACAAACATGTTGGGGAAATAGGCCCACATCTAAAAACCTGGGGGTGCCCCCCCCCCCCCCCCCCAAATACTGAGGACAGGATTCTGCAGATTTTGACACTTCCCTGTCATTATTTACTCTTCCCCTCACAATCTGCTCCAGTAATTGTGCCGTGTGAGTATTAAGGGTGAGTGGTGAGAAAACTCCTTGATCTAGTGTGTGTGGTTGGGGTGTGTGGTGTGTGTGTGTGTTGTGGTGTGTGTGTGTGTGTGTGTGTGTGTGTGTGTGTGTGTGTGTGTGTGTGTGTGCATTCCAGAAGAAGAGGAGGCTGCACAATGTAGGGCGGCTGGTCACCAGTGGGACTCCATACTGCTCTCTGGGGGGGTTGGGGTGTGGGACCATGGAGCCAGAGGGACGACCCCTAACCCCAGGGACCAGCTATGAGCCCGCTTCTTCCACCCCTGCACAAAACCCCGCCTCCCCCAGGTGCACCTCGCAAGTGAGACCTCGTCGCCGCTCGCCACCGTTGGTTGCCGCTGGTCCCGCCCGTCTGACCATATTTCTTCCCGTTGTTGTTTTGCCATCGCCCTCCAGTCCTCGCGTTCCCCCCATGTGAGAGACGGCCCGATGTGTGCCGAGCGCTCGTGGGCGGGTGGGGGCGGAGTTGAGGGCCCCGGGCAGGACAAGGGCCCTCGGCCCAGCGCAGGCCCAGGGAGGAGCGCACAGAGGGGGCTAACGTCCTCAGCCTTTTCGTCCTCCCTGAGCTGGGACTCTGACTCTGAGAGAGAAACACCAGATGGTAACACATGGTTTCATTTCTACTGGGATGCCCGTAATCAGAAGTAGCAGCTAAATACACGATGCCATCGGTGGTCCTGTCATTGTTGCCCCCCCCCCCCCCCCTGCCCCCCATCCCTAATTGTTCTCAATGTTGATTCAGTGTGCATGTAGCCAGAAGTGTCCCGCACTGTATCTTCGATATCTGTGCGATGTAACTGTGAGGTGATGTTGCTGTGGTTGTGTGTTTTGTGTGCTGTTGTGTGTCAGAGGAGGAGCTACAGCACTTTTCTAACCCTCACGGTCTGGCTGCTCACAGCCCGGGATCCTCTTCTTCTGGACTCAGGTGAGGAGGAGAGAGAGGAGAGAGGGCAGGGATGTCAGCTGTTGGCTCAGGACAAACCTCCAGACACAGAGAGAGGGGTCGTCGGGGGTATTTGCGTCGTTGGTCCTCGTGTTTCAAGTCTCCGTGCTAAGCTCAGCTGATGGCGTTAACTCTTTGTCCGAGCCTCGGCAAAGGAAGTAAAGAAAATCTAAAGCTTCAGTAGTCCTACAGTCCGATGTGTATAGCTTTAGTTTCCTCCCATGTATTCAGGCAATACTGTTTTTATTCCTCAACTTAAGGTCTAAATAGTCACAACATAGCCACAACAACTCACAGCGGCTTAAATACGCATTGAACACGTCACCATTTTTCCAAGCATGTTTCTAATGGTGCTATTGATATTCACCAGTTGATGGTGATCAACGTACGTAATCCATATATTTAAAAGAAATGAAACATGAAATGAAGGTATGCGTTTATAAAATGGAATGACACTGGGAATATGTATTGAACGCATTACTGAAATGTAATACTTTGTACAAAAGCCTTTGTTGGTAAAGACAGCTTGAAGACGCCTCCTGTATGGAGAAAGTAGTCCCAGCCTCCACCTCATGATGCCCCCACCTCCTATTATGGCCTCCGAGCAGTTATATTCTGGTCTGATCTGACTATATTCTCCTAGATGTGTGAAGCCACCTTTAAACAAGCTTCCACATGCGTGGTGAGCCTGCACGCCCATCACGGCGGTGGAGTGCATCACTTATTGTTTTCTTTAGGACAATTGGACCAGATAACTTGAGGTCTTTCTGGAACTTTCCACAAGTGGGTCCTTGAATCTGGGGAAACTCTTCTGATCATTCTTTTCCCTCCCCAGTCAGAAGTCTTGGACGGAGCACGTGGTCATGGACGGTTTTGTGGTTAAATGAGGTTCTTTCCACTTCTGGATTATGGCCCCAACAGTGCTCGCTTGAACATTCAGTTTAGAAATCCTTCTCTAAAAAATGCCCTCAGTATGTTTTGCAACGATAAGGTTGCAAAGGTCTTACGAGAGCTCTTTGATTTGACCCATTTTGAGATGTTACTTGTGTGACACCTTGGTAAGGAGACGACTTTTTACATGTTTATAGATTCCAGCGGGTGTGTTTGCGTTCCAAGCCTTTATGCACCTCACTTCCTTGTTCAATACCTTTTCTCTGTCATTGCATATTACACGCAACTTTATTCCGTAACTCATTTGTTTCGTTTGTATGTATTGATTACTTGGGTTGTTACCGACATCTGTTGGATATTCCTTGTTAATAGCTTTTTATAAATGTATTTATTGAGAATAATTGTGTCCTGCTTGCTACTTATTTAACCCGCTGTATGAAATGTATTTGCTGGTAACTCAATAAACGTGTCCTGTGTATATTTGAGGTAACCACATAGTTTTGTATACTCTTGTAAGAATCCGATTTCAATTTATTAGGAACGTTATTGCAAAATTATGAATTATGATTTTTTTCATAAACGTTAGTTAGCATACACATAATAGTGTATACACAAAGTAATTGTATAGCACTGCATATTAATTTAATAGTAAAAAAAAGAAAAAAAATTGCGGCGGTTTCTATCACGATTCCATTGAAATACAATATCTTAATAATATTTTATCATTTTTTATACACCGCATCGATTGAAATTACAAATACTTTCACTTTGTTTTTTTGGTTGGATGCACACGTCGTCTAATACTGGAATCAGCATTTCAGTGAGAGTTTTCCTCCTGCTAAAAAACCCAATCATTTCCAGAAGAACCGACAACCTCAGTGTGAGAAAAAAAGAGTTGGCAGAGCTGCTGCTTACCCTTGTTATGAAATGTCATCAAACTATTTCCCCCTTTCTGACGCAACCCAGGCTTGATAGTCAGGAAGACGAAGGACCTGAAATAACGTGGTCTACTGCGACGGAGGCGCATGCCGGCGACCACGAGAGCACAAGGACGGAAGAGCCAAATGCGCCTCAGCTCGGCCCGGCGGACTGTGAGTACCACAAGGACGAAACCCAGACCGGCCTGCATTCTTGAGATCTTCCATTCATAACTTCTACGTTTTCTCTTCGCAGTGGCAGACAGCGATGCGTGGAATGTATCCGAGCTGTTTCTGTCCAGAGGAAAACTAAAGGACTGTTGCCCTATGGAGGAGGAGGAGGAGGAGGGTGAGGGAGAGAAGAGGCCCAGGGGAAATGAGACCGAGGAGCTTGAGAGAGACGTGTACACCTTCCCTGGAGACTCTGACGCAGAGAGTCCCCCTCCCGCCCCCTGGGCTCACTGCACATTCATTCAGCGGTGCCAGAAGAAGAGGGTGCTATTCAGGCCCTTCTCCGGACACGGCGCCTCGGAGCGCACATCGCCTGAAGCCGGCGGGAGCGTGGATGCGAGTCCTCAAAAATTCCAAACCGCTGAGGCGGCACAGCTGGATCGAGCCGCAGGGGGGTGCACTTTTGAGGAGTTTGGCTTGGGAAAGACAGCAGTGGAGGAGCCCGCAAAGTTGGGAGGGAAAGGGGACGATGAAGAGGTGGAAGAAGAGCCGGGTGAAGAAATCTTCACGTGCGTGGAATGTAGCATTTACTTCAAGAAGCAGGTGCACCTTCAGGAGCACATAGTTGAGCACTGTCAGAGTAGCGCAGCGGGCGGCCGGCGTTCGGGAAAGGCCTGCGGATTTCGGTGTGTGGAGTGCGGATGGAACCTGCCGAATCGGCTCGTGCTGGCCGACCACCACAGGAGGCACCAAGAGTCTCGTCGAAAGATCTTGAAGGAGATTGAGAAACTGAACGAAGACGGTAAGATGGTGAAGCCTACATGCTCGGGTGACACAGACAGAGTCACGTCTCAGCAACTTTCCCCGGCCCCGGTTTTGACTCCAGACCAAGCGGTTCGCCACTCGGTTGCTTTTCCCCTGAAATCGCTTCGAAGTCCGGCTCCAGGCCGAACTGCTTCCGCCGGCCGCCGCCGCTTCGTCTGCACAAAGTGTAACTTCAGCACAAGAACCTCGCAGGCACTGGCCAATCACACCAAGACCCACAACAGAAAAAAAACAGGCCGCCAGATGAACCCTACGACCCCTGGTCCACCGTCGTGTTTGCCATCCACTTCCCTGGCCTGTGGCCATTGTGCCTTCCTGACCTCCAGTCAATCTGTGATGAAGGAACACCAGAAACTTGTTCACCCGATGCAGTTCCCCATCAGCGGGGCGCTGACCGAGGAGACCGGCAAGCGCTCAAGGTCCACCGCGGGTTCTCCAATTTCAAAACCCGCCCTCACTTCTGACCGTCTGTGTGGGTCTGGGTCCTTGCGCGATGCAACTCGAGGCGAGGGACAGCAGGGAGCCACTGCCTCTCATGCCGGCGCAACGCCAGATAGCGCTGCAGCTCTGCCTGCGAGCCGGGTGGTCTTCAAGGGCGTTGAGCACCCGAGATTCAGAAGAAGAGGGAAGACTTTGACTAATCTGGACAACTTTCTGGAGGATGGCGAGCTGACAAGGAGTCAAGAAGAAGAGAAGAGCCCGGAGCTCGACACCGAGCGTTTCCAACCAGACTTTACCTCACCTGTTGGAGTGAAACGGCCTACAAGAGCACAGTCCAGCACAGGTGAGACGCAACGTTAGACCAGACACGCTAATGTTAAGTTGCATATATACGTAGGTCATCTGTCTAGTACAGAAAACAAATTAAAGCTGTAGTAATCAAAATTCTATGTAGCGTAGAAAATAGAACGTACGTAAGTAGTAGTAAGAAAGTTGACACAACCACACATGAATGCTAATGTTGATCGTCAACTGCTGGATGCGTAAACAGGCAACTGACTGTTCCTCCAGTAACATCTTTGTAAGGAAATAGTGTGACGGTATAATGCATTCCCTCAGAACCAGTACGCCTTAACTATTTTAACCCTTTAAACCCTTGAGGAACGCCATCTAAGCTTTTGCATGAATTAGCAGAGGTCTGTAGCAGAAAACTAGCGGTTAGCGTAGCGTTCTCTAATCACATCACGTAAAAGAGTAATCACATAAACGGGGCTAATCGGATTACTTGATTGCATGTAAACAGTATACTGACTTAGGCCAGACTTCAAGACTCACCCAAAACCTAAGATGCACATGTAGTATTCATTTAAATTCAAATAGGATTTGTCTGTTTATTCAGAAGAGATTATGCACTTTTTCCTCTTGATAGAGGACTGCTCAGCACAGCAAAGCGCCTCATTATCGCCTCCCACCGAGCAGTGTGGGAAGGACGAGCTGGAAGTGGACAAGGAGGGAAAGGTTTTCTTTCTGAGGAACCGGGTCACCGCTGCTCCTGTAGACACCGACAGCGAAGACAACAACGACGGCGCCGGCGTCGACGAGGAACCCGTGCGACACCTCCTCTCGGAGGGCTTCTTGGATGAAGACCTGGACGAGACCGACGAGGACTCGGAGGCGTTCAAGAGTGTGGAGAGGAAGTGTCCCTACTGCCCTGATCGGTTTCATAATGGCATCGGGCTCGCCAATCACGTGAGGGGCCACCTGAACCGAGTGGGCGTCAGCTACAATGTGCGTCACTTCATATCCCCCGAGGAAGTCAATGCGATTGAGAAGAAGTACTCCTATCAGAAGAAGAAGAAAAAAGGTCAGTGGCATGCAGTGTTTATCTCTCAAGGTTGTGTAGAGATTCTAAAGGCCAGACAATCTGTTTATGATGTCTTTGTCTTAACACATGCTCGGCACAATGACCCTGCCATGAGCCACCTGTTTTTCACGTGTTTTGTCATAAACTTGTCATCTTATTGAAGATCTAAGTGGTCATCAACGTGAAACAACAGCATCATTTATCCTCAGGGGACGACGAATGTCTGCACATAATCCCATGGCAATGTATCCTGTAGTTGTTGACATGGTTCATAATAACTGATGGACGAGTCCCCCCCCCCCCCCCATCCACAGTTGCCAACTTCGACCCGGAAACATTCAGCGTGATGCACTGCGAGTTCTGCAGCGCCGGCTTCGACACCCGGGCCGGCCTGTCCAGCCACGCCAGGGCCCACCTCCGCGACTTTGGCATCACCAACTGGGACGTCACCATCTCGCCGATCCACATCCTGAGGGAGCTGTTCTCCAGCCGGCCCGACCTGGAGATCCCCACGGCTCCCCCCCGGAGCACCGGCTCCTCGGACGAGGACCAGGAGGAGGAGGAGAAAGGGGAGGGAGTCGTGGAGGTAAAGTTGGAGAGGGACGCAAGCGAGAGGGAGCAGAGCGCGGGCGTTTCAGATGCGTCGCCTCCAGCATCTCCCCAACGTTCGAAGGAGGAGGACGCGTTGGAGGAGAGCGCAGGTGAGTTGCCATTGTTGACCCATCCTTAAAAGTAGGCAGGTGAAGCATCTCATTTATCCCGTTGGATGCCCGATGCCTTTTGACGGCCACTGTGGTGATACGTCACCTTAGTAAAGATGCCTGGAGGTGTCAAGATGAATGTCAGTGGGACACATGGAAGTTCAAATGCACCTGGCCGTTTGAATAAAACGCGCCGTGACCCCGGTGACACCGCTGTGCAACGCGCCAAGTGCTTGAAGCAGGACGGTGGCCGTGAGAAGACCAGCCTTGAACTGTGCGGGAGAGAAAAGGGAGAGAAAGGGGGAGAGTCGCTGATACCCCGCGGTTGATGTGGCACTCGGTGCATTTCATCCCAACCTCCGCCTCCACTCGATTGGTCACGCCTTAGTTTGGCGGTGCATATGGGGGCAAAATGGCTGCTTCCACCTCCCCGTAGACCCAAACAATGGCGGAAAGAACCCCTGTCTGACTTCGGCTGCCGGGGAGTCCGACGCGCCGCGCGCCCGGACCGGTGAGTTCCGCGCGCCGGGGTTCGCGGGCGCCCGCTCGCCCCTTTTCGGCTCAGGCGTCCGCGCGCCGCATCCTGTCACCGCGCGGGCAGACATTCAGCCATTAAAGACGAAAGAAAAAAAAAACCCACTCATCTTCGTCTAGCGAGACTTTAGTAGAGCAGCAGCGGCGTCGTGCAGGTAGCCGGCGACTCGGGCTCGTTGCTTCTCACGTTTCGGCTCGTTTCCCGTTTTTTTTGTTTTTTTTTTGCCCCCGCGGATAAATAGCGATGATTGCGCGTTACAGTTTTTTTCGTTTCTCGCGTCCGTGGCTTATTTTCTCTCCTTCTCGTGCACGTCGGGGATGACGTCCAGTTTGCCCGATGCTGCAGGATCTGTAAAATCCCCCACAGTTGCCCAATCCTCGCCATCTTACTCTGCTTTGATTTGTGGTCGAGGACACGCTGTGCTTTCAAGCGCACCCGGTTATGCGTGTCGTTTCTTTTTGCCGGGGGGGGGGTGAACGAACCGAGAGCAAGAACAAATGGAAACATGCTAACTTTGTGAGCCTGCCTTCCAACTTATCGCGACCAAGTATAATCGAAGTATCACTTTCTATAGTGAAAGTATCGCGCGCGGACGCAAAGTCCTCGGGTCGCTGCTTTGACCCCGTTTATTAAAAAAAAAAGAAGGAATTCCGTCCCGATCGTGTGTCGTGGTTTGCGGGCGGATAGACGGCGTTATAACGCGGCGCCGCGAGGCGGCACGTCGCTCTTGGGCGGTCAGGAGACGGGGTGACGCGCGCAGAGCCGCCCGCCGGAACAAACGCGTCGTCTGCCTCCGCGTCCGCGCTCATTCACGCCGTTTTGTCGCATAAAATGGCACTTTTTTTGGTCCCGGGAACGTCCGACTGCGGGGTGAACTGAGGCTGCCATGTTTGTAGTGCAGTTATTACTTTTTTTTTCTAGACAGGGATTCATTTCTTGCACCTCCTCGCTGTGGATGTTATTACAAGAGCTGATGAATAATAAGCAGTGAGTTTACCTCCTTATTTCTTTTATTAAAAGCATAGAAATGAAATCCTTTATCTTTACCTTACTCTCCCAGCCACTTAATAAGGGCTGATTAACGTATTTTAGTTTCTCTTTACAGAGAACTTGACTGTAGTACACCCTATGTTTAGAAAGAATCGGTGTACTACGTTATTATTACTGTCTGTTATGTCTTAAGGTGAGGAGGGAGGAGGAAGCAGCTGAGGATGATGAGGAGGAGCCCCGGGCGTGCAGCGCTGCAGGATCTGAGCTCGACGCAGAAAGCCGGGCCGTGCAGCGTGGACTCGGACGGCCTCCCTGCCGGGGAAGATGCAGACTCCAGGGGTGAGGGGGGGAATGAAAGTGAACCCTGACCCCAGAGTGTTGACGTGGGGGGGATTGGATTTGCTCGGGCTGAGGCTTAACGTGGCTGTCAGCGGGGAGATAGTAAAACTGACCCTAGGTCAGGGTTGAGGAGCGGAGGCCCGGCGTCAAGGAGGGTTATTCCCTAGGGGTATGTTAGCAGCTAATGAGAGCAGTTCTTATCACTTGGCCCGCGTTGCTGCAGACTGGGGGGTGGGGGGCAGTAAGTGTAAGTGAGGCGACGCCTCCTCTGGGACCCCCGTGGCCTCTGAAAGGTGCAGAACCACCTGCTGTTACTTTGCAAAACTTTGTGTCTTTTATGAGTTGCATTGAAATGAGGCTCCTTCGCAGGCTTGAAGTGCGGCGTGTGCGGAGCCCAGTTCGAGACCCGGCGCGGGCTGTCCAGCCACGCCCGCTCTCACCTGCGGCAGCTGGGAGTCGGCGTCTCGGAGAGCAGCGGGGCGCCGATCGACCTACTCTACCAAATCGCCAAGGAGCGCCACGCGGACGGACAGATCTCCCCTACGGAGCCCCCTTCCGCCAAGACGTCCCTCGGCCCCTCAGAAGGATGAGAGAGGTAGGAGACATGGACTTTGACGAGGACCCCATCCCCTTCTCCATCCTGGGCAAAGCGGCTAAAGCGTTGCCGCCCTCTTCCTCCGCCGCGCCATCACCTTCCCCCGGTGCCTCACCCGGACCCCCCTCACTCCGGATCCCAGCCTGCAGTCGTGAGGAAGGCCCCCATTTCCTCTCTGCTGCCCGTGTCCTCCCCCTTGCGCTCCCCGGACCACAAGCCCGGGGGGACGAAAGGCTTGACCTCCAACCTCTCCTCCAAAGTCACGACCAAGCCCCTCTGGGCGCCGCAGGAGAATGACGCTCCTCTCAACCTCAGTAAGTGTCTCTTGTGGCATCCTGAAAGGTTCCAAAGTTTGTTGTCTTATAGTTTGGTTCTCCCCCCCCCGTGCAGCCCTGGAGGTGGACCCCAACAAGGACATCGTCTGTCAGCTGTGCGGCGCCTGGTTCGAGACCCGGAAGGGTTTATCCAGCCACGCGCGGGCCCACCTGCGGCACTTCGGGGTGGAGTACTCCGAATCCAAGGGCTCTCCCATCGACCTGCTGAACCAGCTCATCGACACCGACGACTTCAAGCACAAAGCTGGAGCGCTGCAGCGCGACGGCGCCGCGCGCCCCCGGGGCCTCGGCGCCGCGCTCTCCGCCCCGAAGCGCTCCCTGCTCAGCCTCTCCTCCCCTTCGTCCCTCCTCTGCAAGGTGACCACAGCCGGCGGCGGGTGCACGCCAAAAGCTACCTCTTCCTCCGCCCCGTCTCTGCTCGGCCCACCCGCCAAGCGCCACAAGTCCTCCTCCATGAGGGTCTTCCGCCTGAGTAGTGGCGAGCTCATGGCCCTTCCACACAGTGAGTGTGGTTTGGTTTCGCAGGACAGATGTTTCCTGACAAGATGTGGGGCTAATTTCTGTGCTCTCTTCTTTAACCTCCTAGGTGAACCACCAAAGGAAATAGGCTGCGAGTTCTGCGGGGAGTACTTCGAGAACCGCAAAGGCCTCTCCAGCCACGCCCGCTCCCACCTGCGCCAGATGGGCATCACCGAGTGGACCGTCAACGGGTCGCCCATCGACACCCTGCGGGAGATCATCAAAAGGCGGGGCCTGCCTTGCGCTCTTCCTCTGAAACCTCTCAAAACTCCGCCCCCGTCCTCTCCGGGACCCCCTCGTTCGCCTCTGGCGACCTCGTCCCGTCCTCCTCCTCCTCCCCCTCCGCCACCCTCCTTAACCGCCTACCCTTCGCCTTCGCCCGCCCCTCCAGTCCTCCGCAGTCCGTGCCGTCCAAATCGAGCCCGGCACCCCTGACCCCCACCGGAGGGCTGATCCTCAAGCTGAAGCCGGAGCCGGTGCAGCTGGAGGTCACCGCGCCGGGAGCCACGGAGAGATCCGCCGGTTTCTCCGCCAGAGCTCTTAACTGCGGTTGGAGCAGCTCTGACAGCGTGTTCCCCCTCAACTTGGGTAACTTGGATTCTATGATTCCCTGCAGGGTTTTTCTAGCAAAATGTGAGGAGAAAGTACTTATTTATCCAGTAAGGATGCTCTCTTACTCTCCTTGTGGTCTTTCCGTAGCCATGGCCCAGGAGGTGGAGCCCACGAGGGACATTCGCTGCGAGTTCTGCGGGGAGTACTTCGAGAACCGCAAAGGCCTCTCCAGCCACGCCCGCTCCCACCTGCGCCAGATGGGCATCACCGAGTGGACCGTCAACGGGTCGCCCATCGACACCCTGAGGGAGGTCATGCACAAGAGAGGGAGGGGCGCCTCCTCTCAGCAGGGCGTGAAGAAGGAGTCCATCCAGGGGGGCAGCAGTCCCCTGTGGGAGAACACGGAGGGTTTGGGTGTCTCGGGCTACCAGCCCTCCAAGTTCCGCAAGTCTCCGCTCAGCCTGCTGCAGTCGGGGACCAGGCTCCACAAGCAGGGCCCGGGGTCCCCGTCCGCCACCCAGCCCGCGGGGAAGTATTTCAGGCTCTCCCCGCTGGGGAAAAGGCCTCTGTCTGAGGAGGCTCAGCCGGCGGAGACCGCCAAGTCACCGCCGCATCAGCTCAAGGCGTTCTCACCGCTGCCGCACGATTTCTCCTTCAAAAGAAAACCTTCCCCGGACAAGCACGGCCACCAGGGTGAACTAGTGTTTCTTCCCCCCCACACTCCCCTCCATTGAGTGCTGATTATATTTCTTATATGAGACGATCTCTCATTCATTTCTCGTAAAATTTCAGATCCCAGTTGCGAGCTGTGCGGCTTCTACTTTGAGAACCGCAAGGCCCTGGCCAGCCACGCGCGAGCCCACCTGAGGCAGTTTGGCGTGACGGAGTGGTGCGTGAATGGATCCCCCATCGAGACGCTGAGCGCCTGGATGCGCAGCAGGCCGCAGAAGGTGCTGGAAATGCATCGCAGCTACATGCAGGGCAACCGCTCCACCCTCAAGAAGGTGCGTAGCGGCAGCTGGTGATTTATGAACGGAGCCCGGCGTCAGATTTACATCACAACCGACCGTGCTGCATCTCTGGCGTACTCTCTTTCCTCCCAGTGCCTTTGATCGGGCGTCTCGCTGGCGGATCGACCGCTGCGCAGCTGGTGGCGCGACAGATATTTTGTGTCTTGGAAAGCTTCAGAGACGTGTTGTCTTAACAGCTTCGGGCCTTACTGTAGACCCTTGTGTCTTTACGCCCGGCGAAAATCAGTGCGGGGACGGATGCCAGAACAACTCAGCTATTGACTTGACAGTTGCCATAGTAACCAGGGTGCCTGGCAGCTTATGTTTCATCCTCAGATAAATTATGGCATGCTGTGGAAAGGAGAAACCTTGCAGGGTTTTTTTTTCTTCTTTTTCTTCCTTTTCTTTCTTTCTCCCCCGAATTAGTTTTTGGTGCATTTGCGTCACTGTCGCACCTTTTTCCCCGAGCTGTGATGTGACACACATACGGAATGGATCACCTTTCATGTGTCCTTGTAATCGTTATTGTACACAGAGAAATGAACCCAGCTAGGCTGCGTGTCTTGTTCTGCTGATTTGAAATGGATCATTAATACCAGACCATTAATTGATTAGCCAATCAACAAAAACTAAATCAGCAACACCTTTTTTTGCTAATGAATTAATCTGCATAATCATCTGTCAGACAAACAAAACCGTTTATTCCATAACGCATTTTATTCCATCGCATAACGCACATCTGTCGGCTCTATGACGCGAATCTTCCACCACGTCCCAAAGGTGCTGTAGTGGGTTGAGATGTGGAGACTGTGGAGGAGAACAGGGAACTCATTGCCATGTTCCAGAATTGCATTATTCTGCTGGTAGCCATCAGAAGACGGGGAGACCAAAGTGGTCCAAGGACACGTCCCCCACAAGCCAGGAAGGATCCTTTCATGTTTATGCCAAATTCTGACCCGACCACCTGAATGTTGCGGCTGAAATGGAGGCTCATCAGACCAGGCAACGTTTCTCCAAACCTTCTGTTGTAGTCTCAGTTTCCTGTTGTTGGCCGACAGGAGGGGCCCCCGGTGTGGTTTTCTGCTGCTGTGGTCCGTGTTCCTCAAGGTCCCAGAGATGCTACTCTGCACTGCTTGGTTGTAACGAGTGCTTATTTCAGTTACTGTTGCTTTTCTATCATCTCCAACCAGTCTGCCCATTGTGACCTCTCACATCAACAAGGCATTCCTGTCCACACAACTGCTGCTCACTGGATAGTTTCTCTTTGTGGGACGTTTCTCTGTAAACTCAGGTGGTTCTGCGTGAGAATCCCAACATCCAACTATTCAAGAATAAAGATATGAAACAAGGAATAACTGAATGGCAGCTGATTAAGACCTCTGGGTCAAGAGGAAGCTGGTTCTTCAAACCTTAAATAACCAGTATGCTATTATGCTATTCCTGTCCATTCTATTTATTCTGTCACTTTCTTTCTCACTGCACACGTCACTTTCTGATCGCTGGTGCACTTTTTAACATTTTTTAAATATTTGTAACTTTGTTTATTCCTTTATTTTTAAACTAACCCATAGCCTTATATTTTATTTTCTTCCTTGTGCACTGTTATCTTGTCGTACTGTCTGCTGTTAAGTCAAATTCCTTGTAGGTCTGACATTTTATGGCAATAAATATTTCCTGATTCCGGATTTTGGCCTCCATGTCACACACCTCCTGGATAGCCATAATGATTAGTTAGTACATCTAGTTATGTTCAATTTAGCATCATGGTAATTACACCATCACGTGTCATGCCTGCTGTCCCTCTTCCAAAGAGCAGCTCACCTCTCACCGCGTCAACCGATTCTGATCATATCCTCCCATCATCTCATCACAGAAGGCCGCCTCCTCCTCCTCCTCATCCTCCTCCTCCGCCTCCCAGTGGTCCTCTTCCTTGGCCGTGAGTCTGGTGCGGCCGCTGAGCCGCGAGGTCAGCCTGGGCTCTTCCAGGGTCGCCGAGGGGGAAGCCGCCCCACTGAGGCCCGGCCGCGGCAGCCCCAGCCCCTCGCGGTGCTCCGGCGGCCTCCCGCTCCAAGCGCAGGTGGCGCGCAGCGAGCTGAACGTCCGCCTGCCCAGAGGTACGTCGGCCGCGCGGCATGATGGTTTTACCTTTTTGACATCGGATACGCTTGCGCCGCGACCGACTTAAGTATTGGCGTAGCTCTGATTTGCACCCTGACTGTCGCCATCCACCTCCTCCCTCTAAGGTTACGAGCGGCGGCCCATGAAGCACCCGTCGTTCCCAGACGGAACAGAGAGCCCCCCCAAACCCCCCCGCACAGGCACCGTCCCCGCCCTGGTGCCCAAACCGCCCTCCTACCCGCTGGTCAAACTGGTGGGCAAGTTCTACACCCTGAAGTGCCGGTGAGTGAAACCTGTGTGTTTTAGAGAAAACTTCCAGGGCCACTTTAAGACATCTTAGGGACGGCAGCGTTAACAGAACGGTCAGGACCCCCTTAATCCCCGGGCAGCAACCCCCACCCCATCCCCTTCTGAGCCGCACTCCATTTACAGCGTCTAATGCACTATATTGATAATCCTGAATCATTTGGGATTTTCAGGCAACAGCTAGGAGGCTTAAGTCCTGATATGACTGCAGGACAAAAGCATTAACGGAATCGGCTGCTCCCGAGAGGCGGCGGGTTTAAAACCGTCAGTTTGTACTTGATTTCTGTGTGTGACAAACTGGAGCCACCGAATACGCGGATGGATTATTGTCCATGGTGTTTTCTGCCTGCATCAGATTCTGCGAGGTGGAGTTTCACGGCCCGCTGTCGGTGCAGGAGGACTGGATCCGGCACCTCCAGCAGCACATCCTCAAGATGAACTACAACAAGGCAGCGGCACCCAAAGTGGCCCCCGCTCAACCCGCCGAACCCCCTTCTCCGGTCGCTGCCGTGCCCCCGGTCCAGGCCCCGGCCCCGGCCCCGGCCTCCACCTCTACCTCCAGTACCACCTCCACCGCACCCACGTCCCCCCCAACCCGCGCCGCGCCTCCCGTCGCCCGCTCCGCTACGCCCCCGGTGGCAGAGCGTGCTCCGCCCGTCACTGCCGCAATGATTTTATCGGCGTCAGAGGAGCAGCCCACCTTATCTCCACCTTCTATCCCCCTCCCCACCCAGACGGTGTGAGCTCAGACTCATCGCTGTCAATTAGACCCTTTTAGTTTTTTTGGTGCTCCTCCGCACTTTTGTACAAATATCTCTTCGTCCATCCGCTTCTTTCGGCCTTCACAGAGTTGAGCGAGGATCGTTTTCCCTCCAAAGAGCCCTCTGAGCCCCAAGCACCTTTTGAAGCAGCTTTCTAGACTGTTACAAAGTCCGGTTACCGGGGGAACGACGCTCTCCTGGTTTATGCGGAGAGATGAAATAGTGTTTTGTGATTGCCTTGTTTCTATTGAATGTCCCGGTGTGTAGACGCAGACCTCCAGTCTCCTGCTGACTAAAGGGTAAACGTAGCCCTCTAAAGCCCCCCCACCCCCCCGTCTGCTACAGTTTTGCCCCCCTTTTCCCTTTGTGAACAGTGCGCTATTAGTGGCACCGGCCCCTCGCCTAAAGACCCCGACTGAGATTAAATGACATTTGTAATCATGCCAGTCTCCTTTGGACGAGACCCCAAACATGTGGTAACACTAAGTGTTAAAACAGGCACTTTCAATGGTGACGTTGTCACTCGGCACTTACTGAAACGCCCATTTTAAATGGCCGCGATTTCAATAGAAGACCAAGTTTCCAATTGGTTTAAGGAGCCAGAAGTGGAAGCAGCTCCCCCCTTGTTGACTTTACAATGTAATTATTATTCCCAAAATATACATTTTGCTTGAATGTAGCTTAAAGCACCTACTAAAATCTTATATGCACACCTTCCTACACAATCATACGCCCCATGTCACTATCATTTCATGGTGTTTCTGCTACCGGCCTGCTTTCAGCAGGGTCCATTCCCTCATTCAGTGATGCCATTTCTTTCATTCCTTTTTCTTTTTCTCAGCTCAATCCAAGCTGTTATTTATTTATTATTATGCATCTGAATGTGGTAAGCTTGGTCATTTTAAAGCTAAAGTAAAACTCTGAAATGTTTGAAAATAGGTCAGCGGTGCACTTTTACACTATGAGCACACAATGTGTGTGTGTGTGTGTTAGTTTGTGTGTCTGTGTGCATACACAGCAGACGTGCGTTTGCCTCCCGGTTTAAAGAGAGAGACGGAAGTAAACCCGCCGATAGGAAAGGCCCCTCCCCTCAGCTCCAATTGGGCTAAACGCGGGCCCCTGTCTGTGCGTGATCCAATTTGTCATCGTGTGTCGGGACGTGCCAAAGAGTGTGTTTACTTCGTCTCGCCTCCTGTAAAAGATGTTTACATTGGACCTGGTGGTGGAGGAAACTCTGCACAAGCCATCGAGTTCCCCGAGTTCCTCCTCGCCGAAAGACGGACTGAACCAACAGGCGGCGCTCCGCCTTCCGCACGGGAAAAAAGACGCCCGGAGCCGCTTTGCTGGACTTTTGACGATAACGCGAACGAAAACCAAACGGGGCCCAGCGCCCCGGCCAATCACAGCAGCCCGTCTGAGCTACCGGGGGGGTCGGTGTGTTTGGAACATTGCTTCATTGAGTGCGTTGATATCAACCCAGAACTGAAGCGCCACCTAAAAGGCGTCTGTGCAGTCTGGCAATATCCTCGCGATACTACCCCGAAACCCCTCTACGGAGTATAGATACATACTATATAACTACATGTACTTAAGAAACTGTTGACGCTAGTAGAGCCATCAGCAGTTCTGTTAGCGAGGTAGGTTTAAAAAAAAAAAAGAAAGAAAAAAAAGTGATCTTAATTCCTCTATCGTGGTTTGATTTCAACCTTTTGATGCTCTGTATTTTGTATCGCTCTGTACATTTCTGTATTTGCAGTCCTGCGAGGTGAATCTTTCAAGTCATTTTTATTTTTAGTCTCTCCGAGCTTTCGTGCCGGAGATGAGAGTCGCTGGTCGGGCGCCGGCAAGGACGGCGTTCTGATTCCCGTGTCCCGGTGTGGCAGGGCTCTTATACGCAGGGGCTTTTAAAGGGGGGGCCGCTTTGTGCAGAGGGACGCGATCCTCCTCTGCCTCCACCAGGGGGAGCAGAGGCCCTCAGTCTGGCGCATTGGACTTCCCTTTGAGGTTACCTGAACAAGACTCGTGTTCGAGCTAAATGCGTGTGTGTGTGTGTTAACGCGTGTCTGTGTGTATCCAGTATGTCTGCGCGTACAGGTGTGTAAAAAAGACGGCACGACGTTGGCGAGCCGAGAAGAAAAAGATGCAGTTGAGGAAAGAAACGCACCGTACACAAAAGGGTTTTAAGTGAATCAACTGCAAGAGCAAAACAAATAAATGTGATTTCAATTCCGGACACTGAATCGTGGCCTTTGTTGAAACCTTAAAGCGCATCTTTGCTCGCTGCTCCGGCTGGAGTTTCAAGGTTGTGTGCAAACGCTTCAGTTTTTAGCCACAAGAGGGAAGTACAATATCAGCTGGTTACATGACGGATTCCAAGCCTAAATGCGTCCTTAGATGGATGGAAAAACCCCAGAAAAGTTGGTTAGAAACCCAGTTCACCACGATGTGGAAATTGTCTGTGGCTGTTCTTAGCGACATGGCAGATACAGATAACAAAGCAAACAATATCATTAATTGTGTAGCACAATCTCTAAACACAACATGACTTTAAAAGGCCTTGATGCAAAGTTTACAGCTTCACTCTAACCCCTAAATACAGTGTGGCGAAACTATCTACCCTGACATGGATAAGAAGTCCTTGAAGTATAAAAACCCCAACTAAACTGACATTTGCTGATGAAGAACATGTGGTGTGACTAAGAGCTCCACGATAACTGATGAATAGTTATTGTTTCCACTGTAAAACTCATTTATATTTCTCACTTCTATTACAACCTTTGATTTTAATTGATTGAATTTTATTTAGAAGTGTCGCACCAGCAAATCTATTATTACAAAATGTCACCGGTATGTGACCACAAACCTGATAAGAGGGGGCCGACTGCTGACTGGCAACAAAGAGACCGAAGCGCAGCCTGTAGGGCCTCTTTAAGCTGTAGACTTCAAATTTGACTATTTTGAGCCATTATATCAAATAAAAAATAAAAAGTGGTCAATCACATTATTTAGTAGTTTTGTTGCTACTTAAAACAGAAGGAGAATGTGCAGAATCAGTCCATGTAATCCTTGCAGCCATGCAACATAATAAACCAGCATACATCGTATACTTTATACTTTTGCAAAGCACTATAGTTGTGCCGATGATATGCTTGTATATGATTATTTTTTTTACCATCTATTATTCATCTATTTTTATGCATTTCAAACAGTCAGGGTTTTCCCACCACATAAATGAGAAAATATTTTAGATATACCACACATTATCAACAAAATATGCTTAATAATTTTCCAATTATTTAATGCTAAACTATATAAGTTGACAATGTAAAGCTGGTCAGATGATGCTGTATATTCTAAAATAATTGTCAGCCCACTTTTCAATTACCCAGAAGAGCCTGAAGAGCATTTAACAGTTTAGATGACAGTAAAATGGTTGTTGGATGTTTTGGTATTTGTTGATTTCATTGGCTATACGAAGCAGGATCCCGATGTGTCTTCTTCACGCTTTGCTGCTTTTCTCTTCTGCATCTCCTGTGCACGGATTGACATGCCTCTGTAAACACCTTCACAATTTCTCTATGCTGTTTACAGCCTTTTTCACCGCCTCAGTCTGGAAAGCTGAAGCTTTAGTCTGAGACCGAGCAGAACAGCAGTGATGGAAGTGCAGTGTTCACTCTCTTTTGATCTCAGCTAAACCATAAAATATCTGTGTTGTGCTGCTAAATCCTCCCCAAAAAAACGCTGACGGGACAAAAAAACCACAACAAATGAGCTAGAAGATGCTAAAAAGATCTGTGGAGCCGATGGGAACTACAGACTCCTTTAAAGACTGCTCGCTCATAGAGGAGACAAATGCACCTAGAAGGCTGAAAGACTAATTAGAAAGATTAATTACTCACTTAATTACATGACTTCATGTTTTATGACAGCAATCGCTTCACCCGGAGGCCAATGACGCTTCCAGATCAATCTGCCTGACTAGAGTGTCAAAGTAAAAGCAATGTTTCCGATCAATGGTGAAGTTAATGAGTTTTGCTCAATTATCTGCACAGCGTGTACGTTTGAAGACACTCTGTATTAGCAGTAAATTCCAGGCCCTGTAGCTTTCAGTGGTGATTAATCGATGTTGATGCCGGAGCCGGTGCTCTTTGTTTCACTTGGACATGCAGATCCCACACTCGTCCATGTGGACGATGCTGTCTGAAAACATCTGTGTGGATCATGTTACCTTCAGCTCATCAAGTGATGGGAAACTGGCCGAGATGACAGTGTGGGGAAGCAAAAAGAACAGAGTTCAGGACCTGCCCAAACACAGCTGGGCCGTCCTCATGGCGAGGAACATCTGCGTAAGAATTATTCTATTGTGTGGCTCCAAAAGAATAGATGCTGTGTTCATTCAGTTAAGCAGAGTAGTTTTCATTAGATCTAGACAAGATAAAGAATGGAGTCACTGACTACCTGCCAAAACACAAACACGCTCTGACTCTCGATGAAAAGTCAGGGCACAATGACAGATATATGAAATTATCCTTAACTTTAATCTTTAGCAGTGGGACACGGATAATAATAATAATGATACGGGAGTCATTTTATTCTGTAAATAAATAACTGCCTTGGATTCCAATGAGGGGACGCAGCATTATGTGTGAACGAGTAACGTGTCAAAACGGAATTTGGCGTTTTTTATTGAAACATTTCTCTGTTGACATCTGACATATGCTGTAAACATTCATTAATATCAGCAAAACAAGGCATAAACAACCCTCATCCCTGAGCAATGTTGTCACTGCGTGGTCACCGGTTCACTGCTATTTTTCGGAAGGGGGTAAAATAAGATTCCGGTCATGAATTTAGATGAAAGCTGGATTTTTCAAACGCAGAAAGAAAAGATGCTTGAAGTCTTATCCGAAGATGTTCCGATGGGTTGATCAAAGCGGTACAGAATAAATCCTGCTGTTTTCTTCCAAGTCTCCAGTCTTTGATCCAATACCCAGCAGGCAAACACAAAGACAGTAGTAGATGTGGCCAGTACACGGCTAAGAATGAAGCCATGCCACCGGAAATGGATTTCCTGCTTCTTCCAAACAGGAAGAGGCAGTGTTCTCTCTTTCTTCTTCACCACATGTCGCTGCGACATTGCCGCCAAAGTGTTTTCCTTTGGTCTCCGTCACGCTCCCGTTGTTTAACTGCTGGCGCAGCGCTTACAACCCCCGCTGGGGTTCTGTTTTGATCCCTCTCACCCTACTTTCCGCTGAGACAAACCACATTCTCAACCTGCTGTCAAGCTTATAATCCCCATCTGTAAAAATACCTCCAAATAGTACAATAGTACCGCTAGCAGGCTAACATTAGCTGATGTACGTAGCAAAAGAGCCCTAAAATCAGCATAGCTTTGAATTAGCCATGCTTGAAAAAACGGCATTGACCAGCATGTTGTGTATCGGTAATTGCGCTTGCACTAGCATGCAATTCAAAATATATTATCTATGAGAATTTTGCCTAAACACAAATGACAAACGTAGTTTAGGCGAGTCCTTAATAAGTCAGGTCCATTTTTGGTGCGAGACCTTTAAACAATTTTGTCAGCATGCATCAAGTGAGCCACGTCGAGGGGATTAAGCTGACCGGACTGATGGATCCAAGGATTAACAACTTAATCTGTATCTGGATACACTGTGGCCCCTTAGGGCCTCCTTCATCTTGATACATTCCATATTTTTTCCTTGACACTTGTTTTGAATCTTCAGACATTAATTCAGAGGGGAGCACTGGGAAACGGGCAAAGTTCGTATCTCCCTTTTGGGATCAGATCCCTGGAACCCTGAGGTGCAACATGAATGTCTCAAATGGACATATTAGCCTCCAACGTCACAAACAACCCAACGCGCCCAAGAACGCAGACGGGATTGCTCAAATTGCGGGAAACATCAGTATTTCAGTCAGTTTAGTCTCTTACGTAAGAGAATAAACTGACTGAAATAAAATACATAACCACAATTTTTATTAATTACACCTGTGTTTACCTTGCAATTACATGTCAAAATGCTGCTGTGACAAGGGCCAATAATGACTTCAGCTGTAAGGTCAAAGCAGTTTCTTCCTCCTTTGCAAAATACAGAAAACACGAATCTCGGCTTGTTTAACAAAATGTGCCTCAGTTGTTGGAAATCCATCAGCCCGAGTCGTCGGTTGGGGCCTCATCCACACATTATGAAGAGCTTGTTGACAGATGAAAGTGATGATGTGTGGAAGAACAGATCTGTCCCGGAGCTGTTCAGACCACCCGGACTCTCCTCTGAGCTCACATCACGTTTTCACACACTTGGGCCAGACCTGGTTTGTTCAAAGTTTTGCCGGCAAAATCGACCATGGATTTGATTTACAAAACGTATAATCAATTGTTCAACGGATTCCTCTGGCCGGTAATGTCAGTCATCCACTTAAGTCCAGAGAGATAGATCTCAACAACTACTGGATGCTTTGGTATAATAATAATAATGCATTTATTTATGATGTACTCTTCATCAAGAGAGGTGCGACAGAGAAACCAAAACATAGGTAAAACATACATAACATAAGGTAAAAGCTGATCCAGTGACCGTACTGCCCTCAGGTAGTCAGGGAGACTTGCGTGACGCTGCCGAGCAACAGGCCGGTCGCCCCTTGATGTGGAGCTCTGTGTTGGGGACCCGGGGCCTAAAACAGCCTTAAACAATTTGGGCTCTTGTGTTGCACTAAAACTCCCTGCTGTAATTCATAAAATACTCCACAACGCAGGATCTCCCAAATGTTAAATCAGCCTCAAACAGCCGTATTCCCACTGAATACATTCCAAACGTGTTACGGTTCATTTCTTCGCGCAGACCATACCTCATGCTGTACCGCATGGTTCCTTTTGGTGGGAAATTAACTAATTATGGATGTAGGGATGATGACGGCCCTTTCTGGACTTATTTACTCCTCACATAAAACTGTGTTGTGTAATGTTTCAACGACTGGGTGCCAGAAAAGTTTGTTCTACTAGTGGCTCAACATTTGCGCACCATATGCACAGTTTGACTCTTATATATATACCGGTACATATATATATATTGTGGGGTCGATTGGGGAAAATAAAAAGACATTTCCAGGTAATTTCTTTGCTCTTACGCCATCTCGCTTTGTGCTGCTTAACAGAGTTTAAAATAATGGGGATGTTTGGGGAGGTGGGATGTGATATTCAGGGGATATTCTCAGGTGA